TTGATTTAAAATGTATTCAATAAATTTGTATTGGTTTAATCTTTTTGTATAAATAATATAAAAAAATGATTTAATAATATTAACAAAAAACATTTTTTAGACGGAACCGGACCGACTGGACCAACGGTCCCACGGTCTGGTCCCACTTGACTAAACGGTTAATCGGACCGGTATCATTTTAGAAAAAACGCACCGGATGGGACCGGATTGTTGCAAACACTCTCCCTGCTTATAGTGATATTTAATATTAAAGTCTAAATATGTTGTATTTAACTTTTATTTAATATCAATGTTTATGTTTTGTGTTAATAATAAAATTCATGATATCTTAACTCGCCTGCTTAGCGTGATTAAATTAATATAATCAAAATTTTTTAAAATTCTTTAATTTGATACCCATATCATTTTTTATATAGCCCCCCCCCCCATTCCCAGATGGAGCCCAACCCTTTAAGATAAGAGTAAATACTCTAAGTCAAACGATATTTAAATATTTTGTGTTTATAAAAATATTCCAGGCAATACAAAACCTCCCGCCTGGTTAAGTATAATTATTACAATTAAGAGATATTTATATTACCTACTAGATACCCATATCGTTATTTTGTGTTGAAAAAAATATACCTGACCCCCCCCAAGACCGAAATTTTTTTTTTGTGAAATGGGAATACTTAGAGTGATAATTATTATTACAATCAAAACATATTTTAATTACCTTTTATTTGATGCTGGTATCAATATTTATTATTTTTTAACCCTCCTCCACACACTAAGTCCTACCACAAGATCAAGAATGAATAATTTTATTCAAAAGATATTTAAATAAGCTTTTATTTGATACCCATATCCAGGGTTTCGAACCGTTTAGTATAACGGTTCGGTTCGTTCCGGTTTTTAGTTTAAAATTTTATAAAGGTTTTGTTCCATTTCGGTTTTTTAAAAAAATCATATCGGTTCGGTTCGGTTTATAATTTATAACGGTTCTTTTCGGTTCTTTTCGGTTTGTTCCGGTTTTTATAAATTTAATTTAAAAAAAAATTAATCATTAACCATGTATATATTAATTTTAGAGAAAAATTTTTTTAGTTTATAATTTCTTATTTAATTTATCCATGATAATCTAATAGATATTTTTATTAAATTTAGGAAATATAAATTAGACAAATTAGTTTTTTTTTATTTCATAAATAAATAAGATAAAAACAAACATGCGTAAATACAATAATGAATAAAATAATATGTATACTATACTATTTAGGTTTAAAAAGAGAATTCGAACGGATAACTAAAATATTTTCTAATATTTCAGGATTTAATTTAGTTCTCTGCGCAGAGAATATAAACTTAAAGCTTAAAAATGCTCTTTCTACGGAGACCTGCGTAGATGGAACTGCTAGCACAGTTATAGCTAACTTATTAAGTTCTGGCATACTATTCTTTACATTTTCCCAATAATTCAAAAGAATCTTTTTCTAATCTCTCTATATTATCAAATGACCGAATTATATATTCTATTTCTATACATTTATTATAATTTTCGATACCCTGAAAATTATTCTTATTAAGACTTTCATGCGACTTTAATAAATCTTCAAAATCATCAACTAAATTATCCTTCGAATACGAACACGTAGGCATAGTATTTAAAATTTCAATATTCTGATTATTTAGATTTTGTATCAAGTTCCAAGTTTTACAAAGATGTTTTCTGGCGATCTCTCTTTCTTCAAAAGTTAAAAATACATTATATCTAGGGTCGAGATAAATAGCAGAGCAAAAAACTTCATTTTTGAAATTTATTTCTCGTGCTTTCATCGTAGAAACTAAAAGTCTGGAAAATGGAGTGTCTACTTTACTCGTTTGCATGAGACATTTGATCCACGCACCATAAAAAACGCCCATTGTCAATTGTTCACTTTGTAAATATTTTGTCAAAACATAAGCTGGATATAAAGCTTTTAATATGTCACTAATTATTTTCCATTCATTCTCTGATAAACATTTTTCGCGATCGCTTTGGAGCGATATTTCTTGTCAAAAGCTTTTTAACTCTAGTAATCTCTCCAACATTAAATAGATAGAGTTCCATCTTGTGCAACAATCTATTAGTGGTTTTTTCAAATTTAATTTTTGAGAGAATAGCCATTGTTGTCTGATTTCTTATTTTTTTGCAGATGTTTCTTGCTTTATTTATAATGACAATTTCATTTGAATTTTTAATGCAATCATTAATTGCTAATTGAAATGTATGTGAAGCACATCTAATACTAATATCTATTAATATGGATCTGGCATTTGATGCAAGATTAATATTTTCAATATTAAAAGGTTCTTTATTTTCATCATGAATTATATAATTATTATTTAAATCATCATTATCTATATCATTATTATTTAAATCATCATTAATTAAATAATCGTTAAGGTCATCATCTTCTTCATCGTGTAGTATTTATAGCTTAATTAACTTAATCATATTTGCTGCATTATCGGTGGTTATTGTGTAAATCTGCTCAATTTTTATTTCATATTCTTTTAGAACATTTAGAATAATTTTTTTAAGATATTCTGATGTGTGTCGTTCTTTAATCACTTTCATGCATAGAGTCCTTAATTTTATTTTTCCGTTATTTATAAATTAAATATTGATCCCCAATATGGACCTATCATATCTAGTTGCTATATCTAATTTTAACGAAATAAGTTTTTGATACACTTCCTTTTTATATTTTCCGAAAAATCTAACGCCATTTTTTTAATATTATTGCGTATATTTTCCGAATTGATAGTTAAATTTCCACCTAATCATATAATTATTGGATCTATAATATTTCGAAATGCTTTGTCGTCAATTGATTTTATTGGCCTACCGAACTGTTATTAGCTCGGTGCAGGAGCGGATTAAAGTTTCTCTATTTATATTGATTTGTATTGTAGTAGTGTTGGACTTAAAAGCATCTTGGATTGTATTATACTGGTTTGCAGTTTTCGTTATTTGAATTTTTTTAATAGTCAAATTTTCTTTCTTTTTTCTTAATAATTTGAATTCCCTATTGTGGAATCTTTCTATATTTCGTTCAAGATTTGCAGCATGGTCCCCAGTTATGACCTTACCACAATCTTCTATTTTACAAATAGATTGATTTTTTATGATATCTAATTTAAATTTCCCGAACCATTTAATAGATAATTAATAAGCTATATGATGATAGATGAAAATCTTTTATTATATAAATAGAATAAATAAAAAAGCTTAATAGAAACAATTTTACCTTCATTTTTATTTTTTTAAATAACTTGGATTATAGAATTTAAATGACAATAAATAAAATGGTCAGCAATAAATATTTTAATGATATAATAATTTTTTATTTATAAAAATCATATTTTTTTTAAAATTCAGAATTCTAATATTTATTATTAAAATAATATGTTAGTTAGCATTTACCATTATCATATATACAAAATAAAAAAAAATATGATTAAAGAATGGCATTTGTAATGAATATTTTTCTAAATCTGTATTTTTAAATAATAAAAATCTTACTCATAAAAATGAATGTAAAAGGTACTTGATTTCTATTAGATGTTATTTATTAATAATAGAATTATATAATTTTTTCCTAATTATTAGCAGGTATTATTCTAAAAGCTTATTAATATCTTATATATAAATTTGTTAATTTAGCCAAGAATAATTATGTCTGATTTTAAGATATCTTATCTAATTAACAGATAAATTGTCTAATTTCTTATAAATTAAGTATTTAAAGAAAAAACAACAAACCTGGTATTATTTGATATATAATGTTGATAATTTAAAAATATTTAATTTGATATATAATGTTGATAATATAGAAATATTTAATTTGAAAAGAAATCACCAATTTAAAAAATGCCCCCAAGGAAAATTAAAATTTTAAATTTAGGTTAATAATTTAAAATTAATTATTTTTAAAACCAACCGGTTCAAAATATTTATAACGGTTCGGTTCGCTCTTTTAATATTTTCTTCATAACGGTTCGGTTAAGGTTACGGTTCAGAAAATCATAACGGTTCATTCCGGTTTTGCGGTTCGGTTCGGTTCAAACCCCTGCCCATATCAATATTTTGTGTTGATAAAAATATTAACCACCCCCCAAGACCTAGAAATGCCCATTTAGAGTGATAATTATTATTACAATCAAAAGATAATTTAATTATCTTTTATTTGATACCCGTGTATCAATATTTTCCCCCCTCCCCACCCCTCACCCCCGTCCTATCCATTAAAACCTAAATTAAGTCAAAAGATATAAATTAGCTTTTATTTGATACCCATATCAATATTTTGGTTGATATAAGTATTCCTGACCCCCTCCCAAGATCTAGACCTGCCCGCTTAAAGTGATTATTATTATTATTACAATTATAAAAAATTTTTAATTAGCTTTTATTTGATACCCATATCAAAAAATTATATTTCACCCCCCCTCCATCCATCTTCCCCCCCCCCTCCAAAAAACACATACTTTGAAAATTAATAAATAACAATAAAATTTTTTAAAAAAATAAAGAAAAACGCGCGCTAAACGCGTTTTTATATTTTATATAAACTAGTAAAAATATATTTCATATTTGTTCCAGGCTTATTTTTTTTATTAAAACTAACCTCCCATCTTGTAAAAATATTTTGTGACAATATATAGACTAAAAAAACCCGGCCGAAGGCCCGCCTAAATGGAGTCTGGGGGGAAGCTCCCCCTCCCTCCCCTTAAGAAAATCCTGGCTACGCCAATGGCTTTGTGATTTTGCTCTTAGATAGAAACAATGTTTGGACCTGTATTTGACATATTTTGGGGCTTACATAATATTATATTAGCTTAAATCTTAAATGGCCATTTTTAAAAGTAGACCAAAATCGGGGTTACTGAAAACCCAGATTATACATCGTTATTGATATTGGATTTGATTGACATCAGTGATCGGATTTACCTGTCATTTCGTACTTTTTATACTAACTAGTATATTTTTAATAGAATGAATTAATCTTAAAATACCTAAATATGGGAAATACTAATAGTAGAAAATTAGGTAACGTAATATTTTAGTTTTTATTACATAATTTTATAGACCCTCAAATACCACCTCTATATTTTAAATCAAATGTTCATGGTGAAAATATCATAATATCAGATGATAAAAAATATGCTAGGCGTATTCGATCATATTGCAAAGGCATTTGCTTTACAAATCGTCCCATCTTAATGAATGAAATATTAAGTGTTAAAATCATAGATACATCAGATAAATGGTCAGGTGGATTGAGATTAGGATTTACAACAATAGAACCTAATGAAAATCCATTGTGCAAAAATAATGATACCCTTCAATATAATATTCACATGACTACAATGCTACCAAAGTATGCCTGCCCCACATTATCAAGTAAGTCTGGTAATTGGATAAAAGCTATAATAACTGAGTTTATTGAGAGAGATAACTGTATATCATTATGTATTGATAATCATGGTTATGTTCATCATTGGATTAATGAATTATATAAAGGAGTTTTTTTGCAGGGATTGCCAATGAAAAATAAATTTTGGGCAATATTTGATATATATGGTAACACTCTATCATTAGAGCTTATATGTAACCATTCATTTGGAGATTTTCATTATATTTTATTTATAGATCCTTCTTTTGTACACCTGCATTCATCAAATATTTCATATGACACACCAGATCAAATGAAAATCTGTATAAATGATTTAGATAGAGGTTTTAATATGAGTGAAAAATCAAATTATGGGGAAAACATAAAACTTAGTTTAAAGTAAATATAATTAATTATATATATTATAAATAATAAAAGTTTTTCCTATTTTAATAATTTTTATTTATAAATGAAAAATTAAATTATAATATATGATTATCACACACAGATATTTAAAACCAATATGGGTGATTACACTTCAAATCTAGTGTTGTTAATCGGCTTAGCCAAGTCGGCTCGAACAGAGCTGACCCAAATTTTGGGTTGTTTATTTTAACCTCGACCCAAATTCAAGCCGAAAAAAACGACCTCGACCCAAAATATGGATCGTTTTTTTTGACCTCGACCCTAGTCCAAGCCAAAAAAAACGACCTTGACCTAAAATATGGGTCTTTTTTTCCACTCAGACTTGAAGTTTGGGTCGTTTTTTTCGACTCAGACTTGAAGTTTGGTTGTTTTTTTCAACTCAGACTGGAAGCTTGGTTGTTTTTTTCGACTCAGACTAGTTTATTTTTTTAAGGCCAATGTTAAAAATATATTTTGCAAACATGTTAAATTAAAATTTCAGTAAAAATGTACCATAGGAAAGTGACAATTGTCATAATCGTAATTTTTGAACTTTTTTCAATTTTTTTTAGACAAATGGGTAGCAAACATGTTAAAATAAAATTTCATTGAAGATGTACCATAGGAAAGTGACAATTATCATAATCGTCATTTTTGAATTTTATTAAGGCAAATGGGTAAAAATTATTTTGTAAACATGTTAAATTAAAATTTCATTGAAGATGTACCACAGGAAAGTGACAATTGTCATAATCGTCATTTTTGAACTTTTTTGAATTTTTTTAAGGCAAATGGGTAAAAATATATTTTGTAAACATGTTAAATTAAAATTTCATTGAAGATGTATCATAGTGACAATTGTTAAAATCGTCATTTTTAACTTTTTTGAATTTTTTAAGGCAAATGGGTAAAAATATATTTTGTAAACATGTTAAATTAAAATTTCAGTGAAGATGTACCATAGGAAAGTGACAATTATCATAATTGTCATTTTTTAACTTTTTCCAATTTTTTTTAGACAAATGGGTAAAAATATATTTTGCAAACATGTTAAATTAAAATATCTTTGAGACAATTGTCATAATCGTCATTTTTGAACTTTTTTCAATTTAATTGAAGCAGATAGATCAAAATATATACTAAACATGTTAAATCAATTTTTCAGTGATGAAAAACCTTGAAAAAATTAAAGTAGCCATGTTGATAATTTTTTTAGAATATTTTGAAGAAAATAAAAAAAATTTCGAAGTATTGTAAAAAGTGGTTAATAAGACGCTACTTTAATGAAAAAATAGCGGAAACTCTTATAAAAACAGGCTTTGAAATACTAATTATAAAAAATCAGTTTTCAAAAAATAAATAAGTATTTATATGAGATAGTTTGCCACCATGAATCTTTTTCTCGGGTTCTTCTACACTAAAATATTAATATAACATGTTTTAAAAAAAAGATTTTTACTATTTGATTAAATAGAGTTTAAAAATAATTATGACTATTATCACTTTTCTATGGCTTTTATTGAAACTTTAATTAACTAGTTTATAATTTATATTTTAACCATTTTCTTCAAAATATTCCAAAAAAATTATCAACATGGCTATTTTTTTTTCAAGGTTTTTCATCACTGAAAAATTGATTTAACATGCTTACAATATATATTTTTATCTATCTGCTTCAATTAAATTTAAAAAAGTTCAAAAATGACGATTATGACAATTGTCACTTTCCTATGGTACATCTTCAACGATATTTTAATTTAACATGTTTGCAAAATATATTTTTACTCATTTGCCTTAAAAAATTCAAAAAAGTTCAAAAATGACGATTATGACAATTGTCACTTTCCTATGGTACATCTTCAATGAAATTTTAATTTAACATGTTTACAAAATATATTTTTACCCATTTGCCTTAAAAAAAATTCAAAAAAGTTCAAAAATGACGATTATGACAATTGTCACTTTCCTATGGTACATCTTCAATGAAATTTTAATTTAACATGTTTACAAAATATATTTTTACCCATTTGCCTTAAAAAAATTCAAAAAAGTTCAAAAATGACGATTATGACAATTGTCACTTTCCTATGGTACATCATCAATGAAATTTTAATTTAACATGTTTACAAAATATATTTTTACCCATTTGCCTTAAAAAAAGTTCAAAAATGACGATTATGATAATTGTCACTTTCCTATGGTACATCTTCAATGAAATTTTAATTTAACATGTTTACAAAATATATTTTTACCCATTTGCCTTAAAAAAGTTCAAAAATGACGATTATGACAATTGTCACTTTCCTATGGTACATCTTCAATGAAATTTTAATTTAACATGTTTACAAAATATATTTTTACCCATTTGCCTTAAAAAAGTTCAAAAATGACGATTATGACAATTGTCACTTTCCTATGGTACATCTTCAATGAAATTTTAATTTAACATGTTTACAAAATATATTTTTACCCATTTGCTTTAAAAAAATTCAAAAAAGTTCATAAATGACGATTATGATAATTGTCACTTTCATATGGTACATCTTTAATGAAATTTTAATTTAACATGTTTACAAAATATATTTTTACCCATTTGCCTTAAAAAAAGTTCAAAAATGACGATTATGACAATTGTCACTTTCCTATGGTACATCTTCAATGAAATTTTAATTTAACATGTTTACAAAATATATTTTTACCCATTTGCCTTAAAAAAATTCAAAAAAGTTCAAAAATGACGATTATGATAATTGTCACTTTCCTATGTTACATCTTCAATGAAATTTTAATTTAACATGTTTACAAAATATACATGTTTACAAAATATATTTTTACCCATTTGCCTTAAAAAAAGTTCAAAAATGACGATTATGACAATTGTCACTTTCCTATGGTACATCTTCAATGAAATTTTAATTTAACATGTTTACAAAATATATTTTTACCCATTTGCCTTAAAAAAAAATCAAAAAAGTTCAAAAATGACGATTATGACAATTACATCTTAAATGAAATTTTAATTTAATTTACAAAATATATTTATACACATTTGCCTTAAAAAAGTTCAAAAATGACGATTATGACAATTGTCTAGTGTTGTTAAACGGCTCGTTTTGAACCCATTTTTAAAAACGGCTAACTCATTATTTCATCCAGAAAAATATTATGCAAGCCTGAAGATTTTGGTTATAGAAGGAACAAAGGTCTTGACAAATATGATCGAAATCTCAAGGCTTAGGTAATATTATTCTGGTTATTGAGTTAGCCGTTTTAAAAAATCGGCTCAAAATGAGCCGTTTAACAACACTACAATTGTCACTTTTCTATGGTACAACTTCAATGAAATTTTAATTTAACATGTTTACAAAATATACTTTTACCCATTTGCCTTAAAAAAGTTCAAAAATGACGATTATGACAATTGTCACTTTCCTATGGTACATCTTCAATGAAATTTTAATTTAACATGTTGCAAAATATTTTTTTAAACATATTTGCCTTAAAAAATAAACTTCAAGTCTAAGTCGAAAAAAACGACCAAACTTCAAGTCTGATAGTAAAAAACGACCCAAACTTCAAGTCTGAGACGAAAAAAACGACCCATATTTTGGGTCGAGATCGTTTTTTTTCGGCTTGGACTCGGGTCGAGGTTGAAGAAAACGACCCGAACTTTGGATCGGAGTCGCGACTCGCGGCGTTTTAACAACACTAGTCAAATCGACCAAAAAATGAGATTTTCAGCCGACCATCTCAAAAATGAATGAAACTGGCACATTAGTTATTTATGTTGTAAATGTTAATAAAATCAAAATTTTAGAGTGCTAGCTCAACCAGATCCAAAGATATACGCCTTCAAAGTCGAAAATCGCGAAGTGCGTGATTTCATTAAATCTTGTTATTTTAAAAAATATTTAAGACAGAGTTACAAAATATATATCATTTTATAGCCCTTAAAATTTTACGTTGGAAAATATTAAAAAAAAATTAAAAAAATTCAAGTGTTTTCTTATTTCCGGTAAAAATAAAAATTTAACATTGTTAGGAAATTTTTTTGGGGGTTAATATTCACTAAAAATGTTTCTTACCTTTATATTAAACGATTTAATATAAAATCTCGATAGCCATTTTTGTTTTTTAATTTTATTTGAATTTTCATTATTTTTATAAATAAAGAAATGTAATATAGATGGCGTTATAATAATTTTTTTTATAATATATAATTTATAATAAAAATATAAATAGTATTGTGATTAAAATTAAAAAATCAAATGAGTATAATCAAGAATTATGTCCTGGGGCGACATGTAAGCAGGTAGCCCGTACAGATATTATTTTATTGACGCTATATTATAAAATAAACATATTTTAAAATTTTATATTCAAACTATTATAATTTTGCGCCTATTAATAAAAATTCCTACGGCCATAATTTGTAGATATAACCTTTCATTGTTTTAGATCTACTATCGTTATTATTTTATTTTTTTATTCCTATCATCGCTACCAATCAATCATCATATATTTCAAAACTTAAACATTTTTTACAACCAAATAATTTATAATAATTTGTGATTTCTCTGAAAATTATGCATTTATAATCCAAGACACTGTTTAAGGATTCCACTGGAATAATAATCAAGCCACTATCCATCTTATGATAACATATTATAATAATAAGGGCAATATAGAAAACCTTAATTATATCATAATATCAGAGTCACTTCATCATAATGTTATTGCAGTACATTTATACCAGACTAAAATGATAAAATTTTTGACCAATCAATTCAGCAAAAAGCCAAACAAAATATATTACTGCTCTGACGGATCAGCTGCACAATATAAAAACAGAATTTTTTTTATAAATCTGTGTTATCATGAATCAGATTTTGGTGTAGCAGCTGAATGGCATTTTTCAGCTACATGTACATCCCATGGAAAAGATCCATGTGACGGCCTTGGCGTAACATTAAAAAGATTAGCAACGCGTTCAA